TCCTTCTTTCATCTCTGCTCCTCTCAGTTTCTCTGGCTGCTTTCTGATTTGTTCTGGGCTCTGTTGACATGTTTCCTCTGGTTGTTTCTTGTGGTTTTGTCCTTGTATTTTCAGATGTGTATCCAGTGGAACTTGGACTGATGAAATCATGCTTTCTGTCTGACCCCTCTGTTCCTCTGGTTGGTTTTTATTATCTTTCCTTATTTTCAGTTCTCTCTCATCTTTCTCTCTTTCCCTTCGTGTCTCTGATTGAAGCTTCCTCTGGTTTTCCTCTCTCTGTTGTGTCTCTTTTTCTCTCCATGGTTCCTGATCACTGCTCAGATGAAAAGAAAAATTAAAGGACTTTTCTTCTCCTAATGACATGGGCTCCTCTTTATGTTCTTCTGTAAATGGTGAAAACTGAAGTCCTAAATCAGTTTTTCCTGCTTGCATCTTTTTTGCTCTTTCACTTTCAGCCACCTCAGCTTTCATTCCTCTTTCTGGCATCTCCTTTTCTTCATCTGTTTCTTGTTCTGTTGTAGACTGAGACACTTTTTCAGTCATAATAAACTGATTTATCCTGTCCACTCCTGTCCTCTGTGTTTGTATGTCATCTTTATTTCTCAGCTCTCTGATGTCCACATTATTTGTTTCATGTCTTCCTCTCCTGCTCTGTTCTTCAAACTGAGGCTGATTCACAGTCACAGCAGATGTTTTTGTTCCTGGACTGTCGGTGTTGCTTCTTTGCTCTGTTTCTTTCTGTTTTAGTTTTTTATCATGATCATTTTGTTGTGTCTCTTTTTCCTTTTCTTCTCTTCCTGTCATGTCTTGTGTTTCTACAGTAATCAAAGACTCTTTGTCACTAACAGTTAATGGATTTATTCTCTTTTCTTGTGGCCTGTCAGTGTCCCTTGTTTGAACTGTTTCTGTCACATGCTGATTTTGTTGTGTTTCTCCATCTTTATTTCTCTGCTCTCTGATGTCCACATTATGTGTTTCATGTCTTCCTCTCCTGCTCTGTTCTTCATGTGTTTCTTGTTTCATTTTAAACTGAGGCTCAGTTTTAGTCACAGCAGATGTTTTTGTTTCTGAACTGTCAGTGTCCACTTCTTTGCTCGGTTTCTTTTTGGATTTTTTCATGACCATTTTCTTTTGTCTCTTTTTCTTTCCACTGTTGTCCACATCACCCTTTTCTTCTCTTCCTGTCATATCCTGTGTTTTGTGTTCCATCTTAATCAAAGACTCTTTGTCATTAACAGTAGATGGATTGATTCTCTTTTCTCGTGGACTGTTTATGTTCTTTATTTGTTCTGTTTCTAAAACAAACTCATCTTGTTTGGTTTCTCTTTCATCTTCATGTCTTTGGTCTTCTCTGCTGTCCACATCATCATCTTCTTCTCTTCCTGTCATGAGTGGTTTGCTTTCTCCTTCCACCACCTGCATCCCATTGTTATCATTTTTAGAACTGATCGTGTTTTTCTTCCTGGTCTGTTCAGCTGCGTCCTCCTCACTCTTCTTTTTTTCTGTCAATTAAAAGAAGCAGGAGAAATGGATGAAGAACAATATGAAACAAAGTTCTTGTTGTTGTTTTTTGTAAATGGGTAAAGGTGAGAAAAAAAAATAATTACACATTAAAGTATTTGAAGCATCCTCAATAAATGAGCAGTGATTGAGATTCAGAGCTATCTAGTGGTGAATTTACAGATTACAACCAACTGTTAGCCTTGCGGATGCACAGAAACAGCGACAGACATCACCAGTTTTGGGGAGTAAAGCAATACATGTACCACCATTACATATTTAAAATACAAAATATGAGTAACTGTATTCCACTACAGTTACCGTTTA